CACACACACACACCCCCACCAGGTAACGCCATTCGATTCTGTCAAAAGCTTTTTCAGCATCTAATGACAGCAAGGCGTGATCCATAGCGAACTGTTTTGCATATAATATATTTAGTAACCGGCGGGTATTATGAAAGGCTTGGCGCACAATAACAAATCTGTTTTGGTCATTTGAGATTAAATTACGAATATACATTTCAATCCTTTGAGCCAAAGCTTTGCATAGAAATTTTGTGTCACATGACATTAAAGAAATTGGTCTATATGAACCCATTTCTGTTGGGGTTTTACCTGGGTTTAACAGAAGAGAAATAGTTGCCAAACGTAATGATGGGGCAGGATACCTTTTTCATAAGATTCATTGAACACTTCAAGCAGAGGGAGCAGTAATTTATCTGGAAATTTCTTAAAAAGTTCAATTGGTAGGCCATCAGGGCCAGGAGCTTTACCAGAATTCATGTGGCTAAGAGCCATTTTAAGTTCTTGAATACTCAACTTTTCATCCAGATTATTCTTACTCTCTTCTAACAGGGATGGAAATTGAAGTTGGTCCAGAAACTGCTTTTGTTTATTTGTGTTGTCAGGATATTGGGATGTATACAAGTTTTCATAATAATTTGCAAATGCATCATTCGTACTTTTTGGATCCACCAAATTCTCACCATTATATAATTTGATYGAATTTATAGCCCGATTTGTCTGTAACTTTTTAAGCCTCTGAGCTATGAGTTTGCCTGCCTTCTCACCCTGATCRTAATATGATTGTTTTAACCACAGTAGATTAGTTGCTATTTTGTTGGTAGTGAGCTCATTTTATTCTGATTTTTGTAAAAGAGGTCTTCTATATTTTTCAGTGTCATTGCAATGATACATCTGTTCTTGCAATTCTTTGATTTGTTTTTCAATGTCTTTTAGTTTATTCAAATTTAGTCTTGGTTTATGCTTTGTATAACTCATTATTTCCCCCCTTATGTAAGCTTTAAATACTTCCCATTTAATTGATGCACTGATTTGGTTCGTATTAAAATTGAAGTACTCAGTTATTTTCACTTCAAGAAATTCCTCAAACTCTTTGGACTTAAACCACTTAGCTTGAAATCAAAATTGGATTGAAGACCGGCAATAATTTGGTAATTTTATTGATAGAATAATTGGGGCGTGATCAGAGAGTAGAATAGCTTCATACCAACATTTTTGAACTATAGATAATAGACCGAAGGAGACCAGAAAAAAATCTATTTGTGAGTAAGTTTTAAAGGTGCTGTCTTATTTGGATAAAGTTGTCTCCAAACCTCCACTAGGTTAAGATCTTTCATATATTTCTCGATAGTTTTCCTGGCTTGTTGGTGGGACATGACAGAACTATTTGAGCGGTCTATCGCAGGATTTAAAACACAATTGAAATCTCCACCAATTATAAATGGACCATTATACGTTGGCATGTTTAAAAACAAATCTTGGTAAAAGGCAGGATCATCACCATTGGGAGCATATAGACATACAAAATTGACCATTGTAGAGATTATAGTCCCACTAAGAATGATAAATCTCCCTGATGGGTCAAGGTATTTATTTTTTAGTTCAAAGGGAATTGATTTGTGAATTAGTATTATGACTCCCCTGGCAGAGATGTAAAGCTAGAGGAGAATACCTGACCAGGCCATCTAGATCTGATTTTATTCACATCCTTTTCAATCAAATGTGTCTCTTGTAAAAAGACATCTTGTAGTTTTCATCTGTTTGATCCTGCCCATCACTTGTTTAAGCTTAACCATTTTGTTCAGACCTCTAACATTCCAACTAGATATATTAATTACAGGACTATCAGACATAAATCGTGTAATTGGAAATATAAACAAATAAAATACATTGGCCCCATCTTATTCTCATAATCAAGTCATGTAAAGTCAACAAAAATACAGTATCCAGAGTGAGCCCTACATCCCAAATCTCCACATATTTCCCCAGACGAAATGTGGATTTAACCCCTTCTGAACATTGAACTTGGGTTATATAAAACGTTGCATCCACTAAGTGGGTAACGTAAAAAGGCACGCATAACAAAGGTCATGTATGGGTTGGCTGGCAAAAACAAAAAATGCTCTGACCAAAATGTCAATAGTTAAGGCTCAATTTGCTAACAATACAAAGGTATAATAAAGGAATATTAACAGTAGTGTTCATGCCTCCACATATAGAAACAAAATGTTTTAAAGAAGAAAAAACCAACTGTTATTTTTAGGACTCATGCCAACAAATTTGGCAAAAGAAAAAAATTGTCAACTTACAATATTATCCACCAATATTTATTCTTTTTATATCCACCGCTCCGCAGCGACCCCACGCARAAAAAAACAAACAAACAAAAAAAGAAGCGATGAGTATAACTATGTTTTGGAGTTATCCTCAGCCTGCGAGCTTATTCCATTGATATATTTCTCGGCCTCTTCCACGGACTTGAAGATCCGGCGTTTGTCATTGTGTGTGATGAGCAAATGGGCTGGATACAGAATGCCATATCGGATTTTAAGGACACGGAGCTGGGTTTTCATTCCATCAAAGCGCCTCTGCAGCTTACGAGTCTCGGCCGAGAAGTCAGGAAAAAAGGTTACACGGTGGTTCTCATAGAATACCTCCTTCATTTTCCTGGCGGCTTTCAGTGTTGTTTCCCGGTCCCGATAGTTCAAAAACTTCACAATTACAACCCTTGGAGCTGTAGATTTGGAGCTAAGGGATCCAATCCTGTGAGCTCTCTCCATGAAACGGGACAAGGGAAAGTCCTCATCTACTGTCTCTCGAAGCCACGTCTCCAAAAAGCCACACAGATTCGATCCCTCGGATTTTTTAGGCAGTCCGACCAGTCTTAAATTGGAGCGCCTGCTCCTGTCCTCYTGCTCTGCAACTTTGTCACAAAGCACCTCCACCTTTTTAACTCTGCTTTGAAGGGAAGTAACATCGTCCTCTGTTTGTGAAATTCACACTTCTGYTTCCCCAGTTCTTTCAGTGAGYGATTGTATATCCCCTTTGATGTCCTTAATTGCTTTCAGCATATCTGTAGATTGTTTGTTCATATCTTCTTTCAGCAAGCTGATTGTGCTGAGAATATCACGGTTGGTTGGCGTTTCTTGAGCCTCATCTGAGTTAGCCGGYGACGTTAGYATGAGCTACATTAGCCGCATTCTCTTGTGGAACTGTTTTAGTCAGTTGTTGGGTCGCTTTGGCATTTTTCGGTGGCATKATCTCCAGTAATTGTTTTCCCGTTAGCAAACAGGTGAAGTTGCAAATATTGGTCTGACTTACGGATTAATTTGAGGATTTAGYAGCGAGCCATACGCACMTGCACCTTTTCRCTGAGACGCGATAACCGSAAGTTCCRTCATAGAATAGAATGTCTTTGAGTCCTGCAGACMCMGAAGGACCTCAGTCTCCTCAGTAGGTGGAGTCGACTCTGGCCCTTCTTATACAGGACGTCTGTGTTCGTAGTCCAGTCCAGCTTGTTGTTGAGGTGAACGCCCAGGTACTTGTAAGAGTCCACTGTCTCAATGTCTTTTCCATGGATGTTCACCGGTACTGTGGGGGGTGACTTCCTCCTGAGGTCTATGACCACCTCCTTCGTCTTGCTGGCATTGATGTGGAGAGCGTTGGTCTCACACCAGCCAACAAAGTCACTGATGACCCCCCTGTATTCCTCAACATTCCCGTCTGATACGCATCCAATGATGGCCGTATCATCCGAGAACTTCTGAAGGTTGCAGTGGTCCGAGTTGTACCTGAAGTCTGACGAGTACAGACTGAACAGAAAGGGKGAGAGGACCGTGCCCTGTGGTGCCCCCGTGCTGCAGACTACCACATCAGACACACAGTCACGAAGCCTCACATACTGTGGTCTGTTGGTGAGGTAGTCGATGGTCCATGCTGTCAGCTGCCTGTCCATTCCAGCTCCCTCCAGCTTCCCTCTCAGCAGAGCAGGCTGGATAGTGTTGAAAGCACTGCAGAAGTCAAAGAACATGACTCTAACAGTGTTTCCTGCTTGCTCTAGGTGAGAGAGACATCGGTGCTGSAGGTAGATGACAGCATCCTCCACCCTGATGCCGGGCTGGTAGGCGAACTGCAGGGGGTCCAGTGYTGGGCTCACCACAGGACGAAGATGGTGCAGGATGAGCCTCTCCATGGTCTTCATCAGATGAAATGTCAGAGCCACTGGTCTGTAGTGGTTGGGCTCCCTGGGTTGTGTGATCTTTGGCACTGGAACCACACAGGAAGTCTTCCACAGATCAGGGACCCTCTCCAGACTCAGGCTCAAGTTGAAGATGTGCAGGACCACCGAACAGAGCTGGTCTGCACAGCTTACTGCAATATGTTATTGATGCCAAAGGGTAATAAAGTGTCCAGTGCAGGCAATACTATTATCTAAAATTATAACAATATTATCCTAAAAGAGTGTGTGTGTGTGTGTGTGTGTGTGTGTGTGTGTGTGTGTGTGTGTGTGTGTGTGTGTGTGTGTGTGTGTGTGTGTGTGTGTGTGTGTGTGTGTGTGTGTGTGTGTACTAGTTTATTGTGAGGACTCACTGTCCATCAAAAGTCTGCTTTTTCTGACAAGCTGTTCGTGTTTACTCGCACACAGATTGTTTTTTGACGTCTCTAATGGCGAAGTGGGCTGTCTTGAGGCGTGTGACATCATGTGCAAAAAGCGTCAAAATCAGAAACAAAGCTCTACTTGCATACTCGCCATGAAGGCCTGGAACAGAATACAGAATACATTCTCGAAACAATGAGGAAGAACCTGCAACAYAGTAGCAACGAGTCTGCACCAAGGAGTTCTCTTTCTTATACAGCAAAAGAGTCCTTTGAAAATATCCAGGTGTGCATCTAATAATTTACAACTTAAATCTTAAAAGGCGTCTGACATTTTTAGGCACAACTGTCTGACCTTTAAATCTCAGAAAAAAATCTCTTGGAAAATTACATTTTTTCTTACAGATTTACCAGTTCTCAAAATGAAATACATAAGTACTTTGAGATGACATATGTTTTGGATTGGCACTATATAAATAAACTTTATTGAAATAAAAGTATTCTTTCATCCTTCTTTACTCACCTGTATTAGTACCATCAACAAGGCCTTAATGMGTTGACCAACTGCTCCTCCCTTGGCACTGAACAGCTCCAGAAGCCTGGGAGTATATCTGTCGAGCTGAGACATAAATGTTGATTCCAGCGGAACACCAGTGCACCTTCGGAACTCTTCGTTTATCTGAAGGATATTTAAGGGGCAGTAACAATTAGTCACTTTTCAATCATCTGCAAATCTAAACAATTTCAAACAGTTAAAATTTTTAAATAGGCAATTTTAGTACATAGAAAGTATGTAAATTCAGGGAAAAAAGTTACCTGGTATGGTTCAAAAAGAGCTGGCCATCTTTCCATAATTGCTGCAATGCCTGGAGACTGGATCACCACTTCCTTCCTTCTCAAACTGTATGTCCTGGCTATCATTTCATTTATGGYCCTGGCACAGTCTCTCTTCTGGGAAGCTGCCAATAGGTCAAGTCTCAGATGTTCAAGAGTGCCATCTGTTTCACCAGGTGGATGTGAGGGCAAGTAATTTAGTTCAGCTTTCTTTGGTTTCTTGATATTTTTAGCAGTTTCTTGCTCATCAACAAGCTTGTGTTTAAGTGAGTTGACCAGGACCTCTGTGCTTCCAAGTGCTTTACGTTTCACCCGGTAGTTTCCGCATTTGTATTTCAGACTTTGTTGCCATCCATAAATGCCATCTGAAGATCCAGGTTCCCTCAGACAAGGGTGCTTCTCTACTAGTGCCTGTGCAACAGCACACCTTTGGGTATTATTTGGGTAAGCTGTGTACAAAAACATGGCTTCTGCAAGGTGCTCCAGGATGTCAGATTTCACATTCAGGGATGAAAATGGTGTGCCTTCTTTCAGATAAATCACATTGCCTTGCTTCAAAGCCAGCTCAGTGTTGTGAGAAAACACTGGAATGGGAAACACAGCAGGCCATGGGTTCTGCCTCTCCAATGGTAGAGGTGTCTGAGTCACAGTATCTTGCATGTCTGCATAAAGGATCTCAGATGCATCAGATCCTGCATAAGAGGTATCAGGGGTACTTTCCTCAGGAACAAGTGTGATCGTCAAGTTTTGAGGGGCATACACTACTCTAAGTGTATCTTTATCCTTTAACTCTTTTGTTGAGGTTAGGTCGAAGAACTCATCAAAATCCTCATCTTTGTACTGCAGAGTAATCTCAGTGGTTATGGAAAACTGGTCCTTCACAGCTGCAACTAACTGATCCACATTTGCTGGTATCCCACTGTCGAGGGTAAGTTTCTTTACTTCATGGTCAACAAGAACCCGAAATCGTACTGTTTGTTCCATGTCTTGTACAGCAGGAGACCTAAAGATATGACACAAGGTTTATTATTACACCAAGCAGATGTGTCTCTTTAATGTCACCATATGCTTTCCAGCAACAATGTCTGTGTTCAAGATGATCCAAAGACTTTTGTGTGATAACTGTGTTTTGGGGTTAGAAATGACTGTGGGAGGAATAAAAAATTGAATTACTGTGGTTGGGATTTCAGAAAAGTACATATACTTAGGTTTATGTTGACATGTTTTTTAAAAATACATTAGAGTTTTTTTTGATTTATTGATCATTTAATTGGTGATTTAATGATCAGATGGGGGAGATGTAATGGAACTAATACTTTTAGGTTTAAGCCAGTAGTTCATGACATCCTTTAATGACCTAAGTTTTCATGACATGCTGTTCATCTGCAGATAGAAAGATTAAAGTCTGAACAAGATCTGCTAACAACAGTCATTCTTAGATATCACTTGTGTTTATCTTTGTGTTTTCCGTTGACCTTGTATCAAATCTTGCTAAGATGACAKAATGGTGTTTGTTAATATATATGAGACCTCTCGAGTGAAGTGGACACACACAGTGAACAGAGTGGAGTGACAGAGAGAGGCAGAGGAACAGAGACAGGGCAGGTTGTTCTCTGTGTTTCCTGTTGTTGCAATAAAACTCAGCTGATCATCTCACAGAGTATCTTCCTTCTTGGACCACGTATTTCTCTTTGTTAAATAAATATTGCCATAACAGTATCAAAAATTTTAAGGAAAAAAGTAACTTACAGTATTTTATGTAGAGAGATTGATTTGAAATAATTCAGAAATATAAAACACTAACACTTATTAACCAAAAGAATAAAATTAGCCATATGAAACAAAATATGTATAACAGGACAAAAGGCACATTCAGACTGCTGGTCTGATCCAGTAAACATGTTTCTGTTACCTTGACATTTAAATGTACCTGTGCACCTGCACCTCGTTCCCACTWAACGTAGCCCCATGAGACATTTTAAAGCTATTTCTTTGGTGCTCTTAAAGCACATTAAAACCAGCAGTCCACTTCAGAAACCAGACTTTGACAGGGCACAAAACTGTTTGGCATGAACGCACGCGCAGTTTTAACTGAGCAGCTCATTCCTCGCTCCCCGAAACACACACACGCACGCACACACACACAGAGCTCTGTTAAGTCGGACATGTTAACAGTTGGAAAAATATAATATTTTGCTTACTATTTGAGACAGAAATCACTGTTACTCATAAGCTGTTGTTCATCAGCAGCATTAGCGTTTTTTTAATCAATGGTGTCTGCCATATTAGGTGAAGCACTGACTTAAGTTTGACCAACGCATGCTTCATTTTAACGGTCAGCTTGAGATCATTTAAAGCCTTCGTCGACATAGTAAATAGTGCCGAAGGGCATCAATTTGAATGTGGACTAGGGTTGTGCATAATTGTATCGTGTGCAATTAATTGCCAGAAAAACATTAATCGATTACTTTTTGGCACTTTGTAAGAAAATACGTGTTTAATAACGGCTGACGTCAGATAAAAACACCAGTGTTAAATAAAATGATCTGTGATAAGAAATAAATGCCATACAACACCAGAATTCCGGAGTGAGGTTTATTGCCACCAGAATGACAACCGAAACCACACTCATTCAGAAACAGGAAGTCACGTTTTAAATACATTCCAGTATCTTCAATGCCCGAGTTCGCCCTCTGGTGGCCTAYGGCTGAACCCCAGGCATTCAGACAAACAAACTTCATTCTTATGCAAGTACATATGTATATGTGTTGTTTTAATGATTCGGATATGTATCTACACATAATATAACAAACATTATAAAAGTATTATAAAATAAGGAAACCCTAATATTCTGGTGTTGTTTATCATCAGTACTGAGCTATAATAACTATAAATTTCTTCAACTTGACGATTAATACGATTAATGCCACCAGGCAGAATCTGCTCGCTGCTCCTCTCTGCTTCAAATATATATGATGATCATTAAAAAAATTCTGTAATTTATTCATCTAGCAACTGAATGTAAAATTTGATATATATCCTGAAGTCTGTAATTCTGACACAATTTGGAACAGATTTGTATGAAGAGCAAATCTTTCCCACTAAATTGGTCGTGTGACTAGGACATGAGGGTGTCCAGGGATTCAAGGGGATTAATCGTCAAATTAATCGTTTTCGGCTAAATACCACAATTAATCGTGATTAATTTTTTAGCCAATATTACCCAACCCTAATGTGGACATGAAAATAGCAAGTGTTTTTTTTTTTTTTTTTGGCAAATTGAAATCCAACGTCGAACTTGTTTCATTGCCTGTTGTGGCGGTCAGGCAAACACAACGGAAACATTCGGTAATAACACTTCACAGAACTGTACTTTTGAAGAATATTTAAATAAAGTAATTGAAGAAATTTATTGGGGTTGTTTACTACTGATTTATAAAGACACTACACATTGTATAGTCTGTTTTAGGTGAACAGTAATATATTTCTATAATGTGGTTATCTCTGACTTAATTGATGATTTCATGTGCAGACTGGGTTGTGGGGCTCTTGATCAGGGTCTCACAGACTCAGGAGGCTTTTAGTCAGATACATGTCTGATTTAAAAACAACACATAAGAACCATGATTAAACATTAGTGTGAGGGATGATGTCTGACATCTTGACTCCATTTAGGAGTAGGCTTCCCCTTTAACATATGTCATGAGGTGGAGTCAGGATGTGAAGAAAGCTGTTACTTGATATGTGTTTCCTGGTTTTTRCGCACTGYTTAGCTGATGCCTGTCGGAGACAGATTAAAACAAAAGCTAATCAGTCCACACAGCTGTGTCTGAATGGTTTTGTGTGGCTCACTCCAACATTCACGTCATTATTAACTGGTATTAGTTTTGAACAGGTAAAGGGTAACGAATATTGTTTATATTTTATTATATTTTAACATAATAATAAAAATAGTTACTTACACCTCCTAAGCAAACTGTTATTCCGACAAACAGCCAGAATACCTGCAGTGCAGTGCGGTCCTCCCTGAAGCAGTGACTGAAAAAATGGTGGACGCTTTGGCGCCGTTGACGGGACTGGGCGGGCCCAGGTCTGCTTCAGATCTAAGCTGGAAAATTACGTTTTCTAAAATTGATTATGAAAGTTCATCAAAATCAAATTTATTACAGAAAATCAAACTGCAGAAACATATCTTGAATTTTTAATTAGAGAAAACTCAAAAATTATTCACATTGTTCACTACACCCTTGGAAGGCTTTTTACAGCATTCAGGTGAGCTTCCTGCTGGAATGATCTGCTGCAGAGCAGAACCTGAGCAAGATGGACTTTACGAGACTTGAGAGCAAGCAACCATCCACATTTAATTTCCACAGTTAACAAAAAATAGTTTTTCTGACTCTGGTTTAAAGAAAAAAGAAAAAAAACATGGTTGATTCACTGTGCGCATGTTTTTGCTTCACGGAGTGGACAGTTTAAAAGTCCCCATAAGGATAGAAGAACAAGCGTGTAGAGCGGAGCGCTGTGCTCATACTGCTGTATAGCTTTATTGAGGCTTTATTACAGGACATATTGAGGCTTTAYTACAGGACATCGAGACGTTTTGTTTTAGCGGGCAACCCCCCCAACGACAGGGTGCACCACTGCGACCGCAAATATTTTTAAGGCGCACTATTAAATAATTTGGTTGCATTTGCGACCAAATAATGTGAGTGTATGTAATATGAGTTTGTGCTGTCAGAAAGACTCCAACAGTTTCTGAGAGCTAATAATGAGCAGGCTACAGCCAACCTGCTGCTGCCTGCAGCTCCTGTGGTTCTGATCCACAGACACCACATGAGCAGGTGAGCTCATACTGTGAGGAGAGCCATCCTCCTGCAGGACAGATCCGCCCGGGATTAGGAWACACTTTATAATAACTGCACCTTATTTAGCCTTATTTAAGCATTAATAAACAGTTATTTAACACTAAAAAGATCATTAAGGATGATTCACATGTAATACACTATTAACACACTTATTAATACTTTACACAAAGAATAATGAGTTCCAAAACCAACATATTCAATGTTTATTTATGCTTAATAACTCATAATTTAACTATGCTATCTATATTTGTAAATGCTCAAATTAATGTACAGGTGCTGGTCATAAAATTAGAATATCATGAAAAAGTAGATTTATTTCAGTAA